AACAACTGCCGAGGGGAAAACAGGTTTTTGTATTTGGGGAGAAAGAAAATAAAGAGACAGAAAACCAGAGCTGAGACGTGAAGAGAGGAAAATAGATCTGTGGCAGCGATAAACAAAGAACACCAACTTTCTGGGAAAACAAAGAGCGAGAGGAGCAGAGCGGCGCTCCAGACTCCATCAATCTGCTGCCACAGTCGTGTTTCCATCACTGCAGAGGACATTACATCGACTCAGATTCATTTCCTGGAGGCTCGACCTCAAAGCAGCAGAAAAAAACCCACAGCGACTCCACAAAGACGGACTCTGGCTTCGATCGGATTAATTCATTAGCTGCTGTCGACGATCTCAATTAGGAATTCTGGGTGATTTAAGACCTTGTTTTAACAAAAAACTAAACAGGAAGTGTCATCGCTTCAAACCGCTCAACTCTGTTCGCTTAAGCAGAAAAGAAGGAATTTAACAGTTATAAGGATATTTTAATGGAAAAAGCAACGAGTGTGACGATGCAAAGATAAATAAAATAAATAATAAACAAATAATAACAACAGGACGTAGATTCAGAGCTTCTTGGATGACTTCCATCTTGTATTCAGAAAAAGGCGGCGCAAAAAAGAGCAGATGGTTCGTTGTAAGAAACAGCGTTTGATGGATTTTTATGAAGGCAGGAGGATTGGATGTTTTACTACGACTGGTTACTCATGTTTTCGTTTATTTTTCCTTCCTCTCTCGTTTGTTTTGTGTCCTTGGGTACAGAGGGAATGCATTGACGCTGAAAAAAGCCACAACTTTCACAACCTTGCTTTGCAAAAGGTCCTCGAATAGTGACACTGAACTTGCCTCAATCAATTCATAAAAGTATTAGTGTACTACGAGCAATACTACGACTACTACTACGACTACTATGACTACTACGGATCCCTACAGGTACAAGAGGATCAACATTTATATTTAAAGTCTTCGTGGAACCAACACAAAGTCTTGACCCTGAATTTTAAGGACTAATTCGTCCCCGTTAAGTCGCCCAACACAAGTAAATAAAACCTGATTCTTACCTCCACGGGTGCGGTGTCCTGTGAGAACTCGTCAGCAGAGGGCAGCACCTTCATCGTGGCCGTCTGGATCAGATCGAACCCGTTCCCCACGACCACAATCCTTCGACCGCCGCTACACAAACACGAAAAGGCGGGTATTAGGAAACGTACCCACAAACTGTTCCTAGAGTTCATTCATTGGTGTTTGTATTTGATAGTTTTGGATATTTTACATGAGAAAGTTTTGATTATCAGCAAATATTGATTTATGAAGTTAGTTTGTGCTCCTTTATCATCAGAGTAGTTTGCATTAGTTATTGTCGTCATTTAACTTCATCTGTGCTGTTAATCAGACAAGACTGGAAACTAAGAATGTCCCAAAGCAACCTCAAATATCAGGATCAGGGCCAAACAAGGAATTTTCATATTGCTATTTAAGTAAACGGACGCATGATTTGTTCTGGTCGGAGGTCATTAACCTCCACAGAAGTCTTTGTCTCGGTGCCCCTTTACCAGCTAAACCCAACATGAACAGCCTGTAGTCTGAGTGACGCCTCCACTGGTCTCTACAGGATTAAACAGTGAGAGGCTCCACCTGGTGGAGCAACCAGGTACTACAAGAAAAAACCTGACCTACACATCATAAAACTCCTCCACAGTGACTAAAACCTGCCCCAAACTACTCAAAATGACTCGATACTTGTCCAAAAGGACTCAAAACAAAAATCCAAAATGAGAAAAACGTGTCCAAAACGTATTCCAATTAGTCCTAAATTCCTCCAGAATTGTCAAAAAGTGCTCAGAAGTTGCCTAAAATGTTTCAAAAAACTGCCCAAAATGAGAATAATTTGTCCAAAACCGTGTCCCAATCAATCCTAATTTGTCTTAAACACTTCAGCTGTAGTCAGAGGTCATTAACCTCCTCAGAGTCTCTGTCATGGTCCTGCTGCTGCTAAACTCCCACAATGCTCTCAGCCTGTAGTCTGAGTGACGCCTCCTCTGGTCTCTACAGGATTAAACAGTGAGAGGCTCCACCTGGTGGAACAATCAGGTACTACAGCTTGTCAACGATACTTTCTCTGACATCCATGTAGCTAAAAACAGGTTTTCTCCGTCTTTTGGAGTTTGTGGAGTCTCAGTACATCCTACTACAGTTCAGAGAGTGTCCGAGTGGAGCTCTACAAAAGGTTCATGAACATTAAAGAAACAGCTTTGATGCAGAAATTCACTGTTTTCTTTATGCATTTCAGAGCTATTCAGTTGTCAGGCGTATACACTGAATTGATTTAATGTACTTTAAGTGTGTACTATCTAGAGAAAGGTATCGGATTCGGTCATCCCCGCTGCAAACTCTTGTTGTGCTTTTACTTTTAATTTTGGATTTATGCATGTAGTCGGGGGTTCGTTAAACTGTGGGCATAAACACATTAAACGGACAGTTAACTTTAAAGCTAGCGCGTGGGCCATTTGCATATAAATGGACTAAAAACCGAGACAGTTGGTAAATGAATCATTTACTACGGTGTTCAAAATATCCTTGAATTCAGTCTTATTATCTCTCTGCAAACTGTTCCAGGTGGCTTCACCAAAAAAACTTCTTTTCCTGCCGCCTTTATCAACATCCACCCCAAACTGACACACTCACCACACGAAGCTGGCTTTGGGGTAGTAATCTGTGATCTTGGGGTTTTCCGAGTACTGGTACGCTGCCGGGACGTCCTTGGTGGTGTTTTTCCCGTACCTCACCGTCACCGGTAGCTGATCCGAGGGAACCTTCTGGCCGCGGTACCTGCCGGTCTTACAGGTGATCTCGGTGCCGAATGTCAGACTGTAGAGGAAATAAGACGAGCACAGACTTTTGTAGTTCGACTGTCTCTGAAGCACACAAAGTAAACACTGTGAGTTTACAACACTCACACTTCACAGGAGACGCCCCCCACTGTGACGGCCACGTCGTCTTTGGTCGCCGTGTCCAGGTTCTCTCCACCGATGGTGATCACGGTTCCTCCGGCGGCTGGACCCTTCGCTGGCTGGACGGTGGTCGGTTTGGGGTCCTGGACGGAAAATGGGATAAATTAGAACTTAAAGGGTTGCTTGGTTTTAGTCACTCTCGAGCTTAGGAAGTAGTTTGAAACATAAAATGGCAAAGACGATGGTAAACGCTCTGATGGCACCCATTCAAGTTTTATGTTGCTTCCTTTCTTGAGTTTGTGTTCAAGTAGCTACACTTCAGCATCGACTTCATACTGATGAAGAAGTTTTAATTGCAAATATTACATCTCAAATATGAGTACTAACATATACTACATGTTGGCTACTTTTACTTCATTCCTGTCCGGTGTTTCGGGTACACAAAGTCGCTTTTCTGTGATAGGAAACCAGCAAGAAACTGGTTTTTAAATCCTTCTACACATCACATCTGTGTTAGTTTGTTTTAACTCTCTGAGCTTTAAGCAGTTTTTGGTCATTTTATCGTTACTCCCGTCAAGTTTTTAGTCACTGTGGGCTCATTTTTCACTCCAGCACCTCGATGGAAACCGTGACTAGAAGGCGAGATAACTCAAATGTCTTCTGTGCAGCATGACACAGTTAGAAAAAGAAAAAAATGTTGAATTTCTTTGACTATTGATTTTGCAAAACTGAAAAGCTGCACTCAACATGTGCAACATTTTCCCCAAGTGTCCACATGTATTACTAACACTGGAAAAAATAAACCCAGTAACTCTGTTCACTGGTTCTGATCCATGCAGCATTTATTTATTGATCCAGTAGGTTGGATTTTCCTCTCAGTCTCTCTGAGGAAACACTGCCTGCAGTTCAACTGAGAAGTCAGATCAGATTTATTGCTTTTTAAAGAATCTGGCACAAACATTTTTGGAGTGAATTTTAATATAAGACGAATGGAATAAAGTGAATTTGATCAATTATCATGATTTTAAGCTCAGATGTGGTTGGTATGATTAGTTCAAGGACCTTCAGAAAGTTGAAAATCTGTCAATTTTCTCACCTTTTACAGTTTCTGTCTCTGGTTTTTAAATTATCACACCTTCCAGCAGGTTTTGGGGTTTAAAGGGTTACTACTAAGTATTTGAAGGTTTTGTCAACAGTAAATTGGGTAAATTAATGTCAGTAAACAGGACGCTGCGTTTGCGACGCCTCTGCTGATACACCTGAGACGCATTAAGGCCGAGCGAAGCTTATTTAGGGCCTCATATTGCAGTCGGCGGGATTTACGGCCCCATCGCACCCACAAACACCTGTACGACCGACCGAGCACAATCAAACAGCTAGGAGGCATAATTTAATCTGCTTGGAAGAGCGCTGCTCGGCTCAAAAGGTCAAATGGCGCCGTGGGAGCCTCCAGATGGTCACTCTGAATACCCGGCGGGGGCGCCAGCATACGGACGACCACCTGGCTGCAGAGGAAGGCGGCGGGTTCAGGTAAACACTGTTGGTGCACAGTTTGGCTTTTTAACGTCCGGAGACCAACAGAGTGAAGCAGCTGCTCGTGGATGTCGGCATTGTTGGAAACAAAACCAGAGAGACGAAGGCTTCACTGGAAGTGACGGTGCAGGTTTTAACGTGGACAAGTCAAGATAAAAGCAACGGAAAAGGAAACAGAGAATGAATGAACATCACTAAGCCTCCACTGATCAGAGCGAGGTGGAAACCGCAACCTTTATCGTGTTCTCTGAGTTGTTTTGAGGTTTGATTTGCTCTGTGGTCGTCGATTAAACCTCGAAAACCTCATTTCTGTGCACCAGAGTCACATTTTTACACGTCGCTTCCCACGAAAACAATCTGTTATTGAACAATCTGCTTCCTGCTGCGAAAAATGGGTCGACTGTGTGACGGCATTTAGGCCTGAACTGATGAGGTTAGTGTAGAGGAGTGTGTTATTAGTGCAACAACAACAACAACAACAACAACAACAACAACAACAAATAAATACAGGATGCAAGATCTGCACTTCTGCAGAAGAAAAATTTTAATGAATATCTAGGAAATTAAAGAAAAACAAACCAACACCAATCTAGTTCTACCTTCAACATGGCTTCGGTGTAACTCTACGCTGTTGCTCAAGTCATCCTCGAGCACACCAGCTCACCTACGACTCTGCTCAGACACTCTGAAACTAGCGATTGGAGTAATTCAGACTAAAAGAAGCTCCACTCTGCTATTACATATGCAACTTTAAACTTCTAAATCTGTGTTTTTGTCATTAATACTCTGAAGTTTTAAGGTAGAAACACTCAGCTGTGGCGCTAAGTGCTCAAAACCACAACATGGACGTGTTAACGAGACAAAAAACTAGATTTGATTTGATTCTGCTCATGCAGTTTTTACATCCTGATGACCGTTGACGTTACGGCTATAACTCTAATTTATTTAGATTGGAGTCAAAATAATCAAAAGGACTAAAATGTGCATTAAATTGCATTTTCTGTTTCACATTGTCGATTAGTTTAGCTCTGATTTGAGCTACTCAGACTGAATATAAAGATGTTTGAACCCTTCATCTTTATGCAGAGCAGCTTTAAAACTTCTAGCTAATAAAAAACGAGTCGAACCATAACCTGTCCTGTAAACGCCACACCCTTAATTTTAAACCTTAACACAATTTAAACGGGTCAGTTATGCACAAATTCATCCCCTTTAAAGTCGTCTTGATCGGGGGAATTAGCTTCATGAGGACCTGTTTAACTCTTTTCTTAATGCTTCGCAGATCTGCTCAGCTGTCAAACACGCACACTGGATTGATTTTAATAACTAAAAGTGTGTATTATCCATGAAAACCAGGCTCCACGTTGGCAACGCTAAATATTAAACGACTCAAAGCTGATTCAGACGTCTCCAGTAATCAGCTCGTCCACTTTGACTGTTTGGATCTTCTGCCAATCAAACGTCTGATGCACGTTCGGTTTTTGGAGCCAAACTTTCCAAACAGTCTGGCACGAAAATAATCACGCTGGGCGAGTAAACTAATAATAAAAACCCTCCCTCAGATGTGTCAAACCAAATGGCGGAGACAGAAGAAGTAAAACTTTAAGCGAGCTCGTTCGTTCCTGCAGGTGCTTTGATCACATCAGAACCAAACATATTTTAAATTCTCCGAAGCTAAATAACTCAACAACCGAGTCCTGCTGCATTTAGGCGGCGAGCTCTGACTGAAAACAGCAACTACAAAGGAAGGAATCAGCGTCACGGGGGGACTTTTCTCAGCCCGAGAGCACAGCAGCCGTTCTGCTCGGAGCCGACAGGGCGGCAAACGGAACAAGAGGGAACATTAGGTCTCATTTTCACCGGAGGACGGAGAGGCTTCGAAAATAAGAAGCCAATCTGTCTGGAGAAATGAGACGCAGCAGTCGAGCGCCGCGTGTGAGAGGAGTTAGCCTGGAAATGAAAAAAAAAAAAAAAAGGTATGAATATGAATCCAGACGACAACAACAACAACGTGTTCTAAATCAGCACAGCGAGCGAGTGCAGCTGCTGAGACGCACTTAAGCGTTCGGCCCGTCGGTGTTTCACATTTTGCTTCTCGCTGTTCTGGCGGCGAGAGAGACACGAAAATAAACATCCCCGAAGAGAGAAGTCGGAACACGAGTCTGCCGTGTTGGAAGGTAGACGCAAACAAAACGGCAGCTACTCAAACATATCTGGGGTGTGAGTCAAAGAAGTTCTGAAGCACGGATCCGGCAGCAGGTTTACAGCAGACGGAGAACTGAACAAATTTATTTAAGCAGCAGAACAACCGTCTGAACCCAGAACCTGCCGGCTGGTTTCAAAGGCCGGTTAGCTCTAAAAAAAATCAACAAATCCAAGCTTAAAGTCGTGATGGTTTATTCTAACGTGTCTCGTTTAAAAATCTGACAAAACTGAATCGTTTCATCCAAATCAGATTTTATAAAAACACAATTCTGTTCTTTTTAGTGCAACTCTAAAGGTGTTAGTGACAAAACTACAAAATGTTCTGAACCTGAAAACCCAATTTCAATCAAATGCCAATAAATAGTAAAACGTGCATCTAAAGTTCATGATTTTATCTGATTATTTCTCTAAAACTCCAAAATATTTAGCCTTCAAGCTACAATCTTCCCCCTTTAAAGAGCATCTTTGCTAAATAAACGACTTGAATGATCCAAATATCTGCAGATTCACGTTTTATCGATCAGCTAATTGCTTAATTGATAACCGGTTCCAGCTGTTTGTCCTCAACGCCGCTTTAAATCACCCGAAATCGCAGCTAAAGCAGCAAAATATCATTAGCGAGCGTTTGTAATGGGATGTTTTTGACCTTTCGACTAATGACTTTAATGAGTTAGCGCGTTAGCTGAGCGGTTAGCCTCCGCCAGGCGCCCGTTAGTGTTTCTGTTTAATTCTCCCTTTTTTTTTGACAGTAAGACGGATGAACAAAGCAGCGATCCACAGTTCCAACCCCGAGCCGAGCCGCGGAGACGCGCCGCTGCTGAAGTAAATTAGTCTCAGCGGTTCGCTTTAATTAGCTTTTTGTCAGCTCAATAGAAACAAACAAGAAATATGCAAGCGAGCATCGATATTTAAATTAAACAACTGAGCCTGGTTGGGAGAAACAAAACAGAACAGCAGGTGAAACTTATTTATTTTGATCGTGTTTGTTTCTCAGTGCAGGTATATAAAAAAAAAAAGAAAAGAGAACCTGCAGGAAGTCGAGTGGAGTTTTATGCGGCGGTGGATTTGTACGCGAGGGGTATTTCTGCTGCTTCTTCAGGGAGCCGTGTGCCTCCACTTTGGCGACGAGCCTTTTAATGTTTCTGGGGTTTGATCCGGCGGGTTTTGAAGCAGTCGTGTACGCCTCGGAAACTTTGATGGGGTTTGTACGCAGCGTCTGCAGGTTTCAGGACGCCAGATTTAACAATTTCTAAGCGCCTCCTGCAGCTGGAACGACGCGCTCCACGTAGGAAAATCAAACAAAGAGTGACAGTAAACGAGATGGAAGTCAAACTACTGTATGAGCGCCTTGATTCTGCACTTAGTGAAGCAGACGAGACGCGTGTTGTAGCTCTTAAAAGCCGTCCTGTGGCGTTCTCGCGGCTTTGAGATGATGCTTCTGTGCTCATTATCTCTAATTATCAGTGTCTTGAATAGCATGAAACCTGTTGCAGGGGAGAAGCGTTTGTGGCTTCACACCGCTGATGATGATGCTAAACTCCGCAGGACGTCTTTGATCTAAGAGTGGACCTGCGTTAGCATCCAGTTAGCATTAGTCTCGCTCAGACAACCACACCATCAATCTGCTAAAGAGGTTAGAATATATGCAGGAAGATGAGCTCTGTCATTTAAACGGATAATCACCGCAAAACAAACCATCCAAATCGGCTGCAAAAATTTCATTTTCAGTGCCGTAGTTTGCTGCTTGGAGCCTGTTGAAGAATGCCGACTGAAACCTTTCCGATTATACCCACGGTCTACATCCGGTGAGTCAGACTAAGTTATGTCTGATTTTCAGGTATGTGGTTCGATCAATAAGTTCCAGGACTGCGTAATTCAAATATGGCAGCCGTCCCGCTCAAACCAGCCTCCTGGTGCGGCGCTGCCCCGCTCCCAGTGCTCCTGCCAAGTTGAAACATCACTTCAAGTCTCATTCTGACCAACTCAAAGTGTGCTGTTGCCATTTTACCATGAGCTTCACCACGTTGTGTCCAACTGAGCCAACCTTCAAGTCAACAGTCATGACCGGTGGGTTCATGGTTACCACCCGGAGATCAAAGAGCTGAAACCCAAGAATGATGAAGGTAGTGCGACAAAAAGGATGTTTTCCTCAACGTTCATGTGGTTTTGCGGCATTAATTCGTTGCCCGGGGCCAGATTGTCAAAGTCCTGAAGTATCTGAGGGGGAACAAACGACCTAAATTGTACCATCATGTCTTCGTAAACACACAACGTTGGTTTTCTGGCCATAATGACTCAGTAGTCGCTCACCAAGTGTCCTTGACTTCCTGCGACTTCTTCCTTTTCTTTAAAAGTGAAATTCAAGTCAAAGGGTTGCTGTTTAGACACAGTTCAGGTCATCGGGTCAACAACGTGAGCAAAAGAAACCTTTTTCCCATTCACAGGGTTGTGCAGCAGGAATTTGCCCTCCGGTGTCGGACTGTCGATGCCAAGAGGGCAACATCGGCAGGGACAAGTCCGGACTTCAAAAGAGGCTTCTGTTGGAGATAATGACTCCCTTTGGTCTTTGTAGACTTTTAACAGGCACAAAAAAATAGTTTTATAACAAAAAGAAATTAAAGAAAAAAAACCCCAAAAACTCCAAAAGACTAATTTGACCTACATTTTGATTCAAGGCTCAACTTCTGGCCTCGATCGATGAATAATGAATTAAAGATGGTGCTTTGATTGTCTAGAACCGGTTCTGACCAACAACCACCACACACGAGCCTGGAAAGTTTACCCAGAATGCACTTTGTAAAGTTTTTTCTGGTGAATGATCAGAAACAGAAACACATCCGGGGCACCGATGATTGTTTCTATGACATCAAACTGGTCTCACTGTGATACATCCCATAATACTGATGCTACCAGCTGGTTACGGAGGAGATTGATTGGACAAGGTTTGGGTCATTTTGCGTTTCAGGTTGTTTGGATAAACTTATTTTGGACGACGTTGACGTGACGTTGGACGTCTTTTTGGTCATTTTGGTTCATTTTCAACTTATTTTGTACCAGTTTTTAGTAATTTTGCAAACATTTAGAGATGTTCTGGAGAATTTCTGAGTCATCTTGGACAAATTATGAGTCATTTTGGGAAAGTTTCTGCACTTTTGGAAAGATTTTACGGAAATTTGGAAAAGTTTGAAGCATTTCACACAATCTTTAGCTCATTTAAAACAGTTTTACTGGTTATTTTGGACAAACTGAACCAAAACACATCCAGAGTGCCACTGATTGTCTCAATGACTCTACATTATAGACATTAAACTGTTCACACTACGATTCATCCCATAATACTGATGCTCACAGCTGGTTAAAGAAAAAAGGCGCAACATTTTTTAGTCATTTTAGACTATTTTTGAATAATTTTTGAATAATTTTTTGGTCTTTGTTCTACTTATTTAGGATGTTTTGGACCATTTTAGACAAAGTTTTGAGGCATTTTAGAAAAGCTTTAAATCATTTGCATAAGTTTTAAAGATTTGGGACCAACTGAGTCATTCTGGAAGGTTTCTGAGTTGATCTGGACGAAGGTTTTTAAATTTAGAAACGTTTCAAATCATTCCAGAAAAGCTTTTAGGTATTTTTTTGATGAAAATCTGGAGAAGTTAGAAGTATTTTGACGATTTTTCTTCCAGCAATTTTGGGAGAAATCACGAGTCATTGTGGACAAACAGAAACAGAAACACATCCAGAGCACCACTGATTGTTTCTGTGACTCTGTTAAACATCAAACTGTTCAAACTACGATACATCCCATAATACTGACGGTTAAAGTTGCCGCACAAAACCCAGATCCAGTGTTCAGACTGAGACACCTGGACGGATGTAGAACTGATCTGGTGTCAGGTTCTACCAGAACTCAGACGTGTTCTTCCTCCTAACATGTCATGTGTCTATCTGCTGCACTGATGAAGCTCTGAGGCTCAGAAACGACGGAAAAAGTGATAAATTTTGAACTCACTAATCTGTGTTTCTCTAAAACTCTTCACAGTCTGACGGTGGAACTTTGCACGACTTTATTAAACAAACTAAAGCTGCTGCAGATAAAACATCAGATGGTTCTGAGGAGGTCAGGAGGAGGAACTGATTGATTTTTTTCTAGAGATCAGACATCATCATCTTTATTTAATCAGCTATTCTGACTGAGATGAAGAAACAGAAGCATCACACATGCACGGCACACCGGCGGCGAGACAGAAGAAGCTGCTGAAGTTACAGAGACCTGAGATAAAGCAGCTTTACGGTGTGCGAGGGACACCAGATCCAGCTGGAGGCCAGTTCGCACTTTCTTTCTTTTATCTTCGCTGGAAGCAGCTCAGTCGAGGTTAAGAGAGATTTAAGAGCTATCTGAGGTAAAGTCGACGCTGCAGGTTTCAGCGCGAGGACGTTTGGAGGCTTTAACACTCCAGAGATGAATATCGAGACATGAATCCGTCTCCTGTCTGAGTCCATCCAACCTGTGACCAAGAGTTCTCTCTTTTCTTTGAGGAAAGTCAAACAAAATCAGCCAAATCTGAGAAAAGCTCCCACCTGACCTGCTCACAATCAGCTGATTCAGGGATGAAAAACACGTCTGAGTTCTGGTCAAAACTGCAACCAGATCAGTTTCACTTCCATCCAGGTGTCACAGTCAATAAACTGGAGCAGTTTAATGTTCATGACATAAAGTTCTAGAAACATTCACAATCCTGGTTACTAAAGATTAACAGAAAAACACCTAAAACCTGTTCAAAAATGTCCAAAATGACTCAACCGTTGATCAAAATGGTCCGAAAAGACTCAGTTTGTCCAGAATGATTGAAAACTTGGAGACAAAAATGTGTCCAAAATTACTCAAACCCTTTTCTAAACTGGTTCAAATCCAACTGAAAAAAGTCCAAGATCACTTAAAAATAGTCGAAAACCTTTCAAAAAATGACAAAACTTGGCCAAAATAATTCCCAAAGTGAGTCAAAAATGTATTTTAAAGACTCCAAAATATTTTAAAACTTTACTAAAATGACAAACACCTGGTCTGCTGCACAACTAAATGACCCTGATCACCTAAAACGTTTCCCATAAATCGTTCTGTTGGTGGTCGTTGGTCAGAACCAGTTCTAGACGATGGTAGGACCGTTTTACCTCCAGAACCTACCAGAACCATCTATAGACAGGGTTCCTTTGTGGCAAAACTGTGTTCTGATATAAAACATGTCATATTTTTACTCTGGACGGACGTGAAACTGAAGCGGCTGCAGTTTTAACTCAACCAACTGAATGTCACCAAAGCAGACTGGCTGTGTTCAGCCCAGACCCGGAGCTCAGACCTGGAGCCCAGACCTACCCGGTAGGTGAAGAGGACCTTCGACGTCCCTCGTCGTCCTCCCTCCACCTCCACCTCCACCGCCCCGCTGGTGAGCGGGTCCACGGGGAGGTCGAAGGGCGGCGGTCGCCTCGCCGGGCCGATCTCACAAACCACACTGTGGACGGAAACACAACAAGTCAGACGTGATGGTTTTTATTATTTTCTTTCTATAAAACAGTGAAAAACGATTCTCTGAAAGAACAAAGCATCATTCTTTCCCTTCCAAAAACACAAAAACAGTCGATATGTGATCGTAGAAAACCAAGAAAAACACTAAACATTCACACATCAGAAGCTGGAAACACAGAATCTGGACTTTTTTCTTCCATCTTTCTCTCTGATGATTAATTTTCAGCCAAATCATTGCGGCTCCACTTTGGGCAGCAGCTCCAGAGCCTCCAATCAACTTCAGACTGACAGAAAACGTTCACAGAACGTCCAGGATGTTGTATTTTCTGGAGAGTTTTGCTGCTTCTCAGCTAAACTCATCCAGTGAGCGGCTCCACGGTGCAGCAGGTGGCGACGGCAAGAGTGGATTCTAATGTAGTGGTTCTAAAAGTCAAAGTCATTTCTACTTTATTATGATTTCTGTGTCCTACAGCACAGACCACATCTCTGAGTTCCCTCTACGTTTAGAAGAGACGCAGGACTTCATATTAGAGGAAAAAAATGAGCCGACAGTGAATAAAAATGAGACAGAAACAAGTTTTACACGAACACGAACCATCAAAGTGTCCAAACCGCAGTGTTTAGGATGAAAAATGAGAAAATTTAGCTTCAATAGTTCATTTAAATGTAATTTTTGACTCTATTTATGGCATTTTGACGACTTTAAAGAACCTGAAAACCTTTTTTTTAACAACTAGTTGTTGTTTATTTGTTTGTGTTTGTTCTGGCTGGTTTCAGTGGGAGGGTCTCAAAGGTGATGCTTTTATGCACCAATCAGGAAAAAGTGTAATCAGATTACAGCCACAGATGTTCATTAAAGACTCAACAAGGCTGTGGATCATCAGCTTATCCATCAGTTTGTCAGCTGGTCTCTGAATATACACTTGATGTCTGTCTGTCATTCATTTGCAACTTTAAATAACCTGGAAACACACGTTCTAACAACGTTGTGGTCGTTTTACTTCAGACGTTTGTGTGTTTTTTCTTGCGTGTCTCAAAGGTGATGCTTTTGTGTCCAATCAGGAAATATCTGAATCCAAACACAGCTGCAGACGTCGACCAGCTTGTCTCTGACTGAACACTTGATGGTTTTTGTTTATGTGCAACTTTAGCTGATTTTTTTCATCCAGCTTCTTATTCTGAGCAACACGGTTGTTTTCTAACAAGCTACTTTCTGACAGGAGCCTCATGTTCAGAGAGCTAACGTTGTGTTTTACTGTCACTACAGTCTGAAGAAGTTTTCCTCCCGTCAACAAAAACTCCTGAATCTCGACTCAGACGAGGGTTTTAATCCAGTTCCTCTGATCAGAGTCGTCCCTTTGCTCTCCAGCAGCAGCCTGAGGACGTTAAAGTGGAGACAAGAGGCGCCTCACCTCTCTGAGCGCTGCCTCAGAGGGACGGCCGTCCTCGGCTCTGTGCAGTAATTAATTAATGTGTGCCGCTGTCAGAGGTTGGCGTGTAGAGCTTCACCTGCTCGTGTTATGCTGCATGTTAATGGGTTTTACTTCACCTGGTGGAGACGGAGTAGCGCTCCTCCTGGTGGACACAGTCCACGCCGGCCACCGTGATCTTCCTCACGTCCTCCTTCTTGATGCCCATGTTGGAGCCTTTGATGGTGACAGAGATCCGGCCGTTCAGAGGCCCGAAGCGAGGGATGATCTGCAGGAGAGCAGGAGGAGACCAGGAAACGTTAGGACGGATCGGTGGAGCAGGTTCTAGAGGAAAAACACCCGACTGATGCCGGCTGAGGGAAGACAGGCCTCAAGTCCTCCACATAGTTTAGTTAATTAAACCTGCACTGTAAAAACAAAACAAAACAATCATGAAAAAACTGAACAAGCTGCTGCTGCAGCGCCAGAAAACAAAAGAACAAAAAGTGTAAAACTGTGAAATTGAAAAAAGTGAAAAAAGAAGATATTTTTGTATTATATAAAATACAATAAAAGTGTGTAATTGTGCAGTCACATGAAAAAAACTATTTGTAAAAAATACTGATTTGTTTTAATATGTACATTCTATGCATTTTGTTTTTATAATAAACTTGTAAATATTAATATTAAAAATATTATATAACAATAATAATATTTTTTTAGTTTCTCTGCTTTTACTAAGAAAAACCTGTGAATTAAAAACTTCAGAAAATGATTTACCATTTTTTAATTATTAATATACAAAATAAAACCTTAAACCTTAAAACAAATATAAATCTGCTAAATAAAAATTTAGATAAAAAAAAAACACAGATTGTTGATGTGGACATTATTTACATTTAAAAAAAAAATTATTAGTATTATTTTTTAACAGTCAACATATAAATGAATATTTTTTTCTGTGATTTTACTGGATAGTATCTGTAATTTTTAAAGACATTTTCATTTTTCATTTTATAAAATGATGTACTGTTTTTTTCCCAATCTATAATTAACAAATATCTAAAATAACAATATTTTTGCAGATTTACATGCAGTAAAAATGGCTCATTTTACAGTCAAATGTACTAGAACTAATAAAAAATGTTATTTTTTAAAAAACATATTTTACAGTTTTGGTCATTTCTTTAATGTAAGTTCATGATTATCTTCTACAAATTTTACTAGTTATTGTTTGTAATTTAACAAAATGGGATAAATCAGAGGTGTCTTGTTTTATAGTTGTCTTGAAGTGACATTAACACATTTATGTGAGTTAACGAATGATTAAAGCAGGAGTTCAGCATCTGGAGACGGTTCAAATTATGACTAAACTTAATTATACTTTAGTCAGGCTTCGCTGTAAAGACAAACAAGCGGCCAAGTCGATCAGTTTTATTGACGTTAGCAACAAAAAACACTTTAAAGCAAGTGGATGTGGATTCTCAAAGGGTTAAATTAGTCCTCATATGAACGGATCTGCATCAGAAGATGAGTCCAGCTGGTCGATATTTGGCTCCAGATGACCATAAATTTACACAAACTCTGACTAAAACGAGGCTGAATGTCAAAGCTTTCTGGCACAGCGTCCCTTCGCTCCAGGAGCTGGAGGAGGACCAACGTCTAAAGAGGTCGACGCTCCAGCGGCTGAGCTGTTGAACCTGTTGTAGGTCTGACGGCTGAGATGACCTCGATACTCTGAGAGCTGCTGAAGCTTTGACCCCTTTAACAAAAGAATAAAGTCTTCTGCTGCATCCTGAGACTCGACATCGACGTGGAACCTCCAGTGGAGACGAGTCATCAAGTGAAAGCTGCGTTTTTCTAACCAGCTGCAGGAGTTCGTCTCCGATCAGACGCGACGGCTGAACTCGTCTTTAACGCGTCTCGTTCCCGTCGAGCTTTTAAGGAAACAGCTTCCGACCTCATCAGCTGCAGCACAAAGGAAGCAAACGACACGGAGGAAACAGGAAGAAACGGAGCTGTATGGATTCAGGATCTGATCTAAAGACGCAGATGAAGCGACAGAATGAAGAGAGACAACTCAGCTGATGAATCTGACAGACGCAGGGATTTTGCTCGTCCGTTATTTATCCTCAGAGATCGACTGAAACTACACTTCTGTAGTGTCACATTAATGCTGTTTAAAGCTGAATAAGTTCATCACACAGAGGAATAAATCAGTTCATTTATGTGTCTCCATTAAAATACTGAACATTAAATAAAAAAACATCTTAAAGATATTCAGGATAAAATCTGCTTCTCTGGTTGCTGATAATAACGGATTGTTTGGAAGCAAGTGGTGTGATTGTATGGTCATGAATGTAAAAGAACAAACTGTTATTTGTAAAAATACAGATTCATGAAGCAGTTCTGCCCTTTTATTTTTGGTAAATTACATATAAATTAATGATTTATTTCAGTGATTTTACTGGATGTTATCTGTAATTTACCAAAACAGGGAAAATGTGTAAAATAATGGTTTAGAAAATTATTATATATTTTTTTTAAAAATACAATTTTTTGACGTGGAAATTATTCAAATTTTCGCCTTTTTTTGTGTAAATTACTTGCAAATTAATAATATAAATAATTAATATTCACAAAATAGAGAAAATCTGTAAAATTGTATTTTACAAAATGATTTAAAAAAAAAAAAAGGTTCTGTTTTTTTCCCCCAATCTATAATTAACAAATATCTAAAATAACAATATTTTTTCCCCAATCTCTGGACATCATCTGTAAAATAAAAAATTTAGATTCAATTATTAAAAAAATAAAAAATAAAAATACTCTCTACTTCCAGGTATTTGATGTTATTTGATAAATTCTGTAAATGAAGGACTGAAAAACAGCAAATATTTGTTTTAACTGTTGTTTTGTTCAATTACAGATGATTTCTGGTAAAATCACCCAAAAAAAATGCACAAAATTCACTAAAATTGTAAATAATAATAATAATAATAATAATGTCCACAACTAAAATACTAACTTGTACAAACAATAATTGTTTTTTTAAACGTATCTAATAATGTTAATGCTAATAATTTATTTTACACATATTTTTTATTATCGTCACACTTTTCCTTCATCTCTAACTTTTAGTTCTGGCGTCCTCGTTACCAGACTTCCACCGTTTCTCTACGTATTTTAGTTTATTTCCGTCCCAGCAGACCCCCACACATCAGCC